CTTCATTCAGTAAAGATAGTCTGTACCATGGTGCTATGCTCTAGAAAATTACTTTTGAAAATATATACACACAATAAAAAAAAAATCCGTATCATGGTGCTTTGCTCTCGAAAATTACTTTGCTATGCTCTAGAAAATTACATACTTCTAAAGCAATTGTAATGTCGACACGCACGTTATTGTTTAATTCTTTAAAGTTGTTTGAATGTTTTGTACACTATTTAATATTTAAAATAGTGCAGATGATTGTTCTGTTGAAGTCAGTATTTTTTTTAAAAGTTTCAATAACCACGACTAGTTTCTTAACAGTACTCAACCGCAATCTACATCATTTTGATCCGCTTCACTGCCAGACGACAAGAAGATTGTTTTCCAAATCTTTTCCAACAAGTCATGAAACAGTTTAGTATTATTTGAATTAATTCAAGGCTATTTCCTTCATTTAGGTATACATTTACATACAATTTTTTTTCTTCAAAACAAGACATGAACTGCTTCATATCTTTTGAATTACTTCAAGGTTATTTTCTTCACTCAGTAAAGATAGTCTCTACCATGGTGCTACGCTCTAGAAAATTACTTTTGAAAATATATACACAAAAAAGAAATAACATTTCCGTATCATGGTGCTTTGCACTAGAAAATTACTTTGCTATGCTCTAGAAAATTACATACTTCTAAAGCAAATGTAATGTCGACACGCACGTTATTGTTTGATTCTTTAAAGTTAATTGTTTGAATATTTTGTACACTATTTAATATTTAAAATAGTGCAGATGATTGTTCTGTTGACGTCAGTATTTTTTTTAAAGTTTCAATAACCACGACTAGTTTCTTAACACGTACAGTACTCAACCGCAATCTACATCCTTTTTGATCCGCTTCACTGCCAGACGGCAAGAAGATTGTTTTCCAAATCTTTTCCAACAAGTCATGAAACAGTTTAGTATTATTTGAATTAATTCAAGGCTATTTCCTTCATTTAGGTATACACATTTACATAAGCTTCGTACCACAGTAACGATGCACTACAATACTTTCGGAACATAGGCCCTACTTTGTTGAACTACTGTATTTTGTACACGATTTTGAATGACTTCATGAATACGTTTTAGATTTACTTCACTACAAAGAACCGAAATGTTCTCAATATGTCTAACCTCGCTCTGTGAACATTCTACTATTTTATAACTATACTGTTTGTTTATTCTGAAATCATGTACATAGCATACAAGTACCAATAAACGTATTATTATATCTGATAGTTTTCATTTATCTATTTTGGGACCTGAATTTTGTGTAGTGAATAAGTTGTTTAGAAGTATGGCGGTTTGAAAGTAGGTGAATTTATATACGTTTCTACATAAAATTAGAAAATGTTATGGTTTAGAGTTGCAATATTGAACCCAAACTTCAAAAATAGTAAGAATAAAGGTAATACTTTATATTTATGACATAATAATAATCACATTTTGCTCAAAGTACATGTTATACTGTCTATTTAGCCCTTTTTCTCGAAACCTGCAGGTGATGCGAGTTTACATCCCTTTCGTGGTCTTGGGTCACATATATCTTTTATTTATTTATTTTTCTTTATGTATAGGCTTAAGAATGAGATAAAATTACCTGAACTTTTTCAAGACACGGAAAACCGTGAATTTTGAAGAACTTAAAAGGTCATTAAAAGACACCTCAGAAGTCGGGAAAGCTCATTTCCGGCCATCTAGGAATCAAAATTTTCCCGGGGGAGGACCCCCCTTTCTTTTTTGGGTATTTGGGAACTTTCTGAACCCCCTCTTTGAAATCCCGGATCCGCCCCTGGAGGGTAGGTTGAGTCTACATACAGGTGGAATTTAGCCCCTTTTTCGTATTCAAAACCTAATTAATTAACTTGTGGTCTGTCAAAAAGTGGTCAGACTGAAAACGACCAAACGTACCGGTGGCTACGGCCCTGACAAAATAACATAGGCCTATCCAAAATAAGTTTATGTTTTATTAGGCCTATATTTTAAAAAAATGTAAACTTTTCACAAAATTCGGCCAAATATAGTTTAGCCGTGACTTTTTAAAAGTTACGGCGAGGCGAATTTTTTATATGGCCAGATTTGAGGAAACTGGCCGTCAAAAAGGCCAAATGGCAACCCTGTACCCTAACTTTCCAAAATGTGCGAAATTGAGGTTCGGCTATTATTGATTATTATTTTTTTACTACAACTAAAAATATTTTTTTAATGAGCTAAAAAGGCTGGAATAGCCCATCTCAACTGGACGGAGGCGATGCGACAGTGTTATGCGACCGTTTTGCTCTTCAATATAGACTTTAAATGGCCTTTGCTGCATTTTTGTGTATTTTTTACTTTTTTAGGCATAAACACATAAATAAGGACTAATTTCAAAATATATACAGTGATTTTAGTAAAGATGTGTATACTTGTTCCATATAAATACCCGATTGTGTTAGTAGGACCCGGGAACAGTGAAATTAATTGTCATCAATTAAATTAAATTAACTGTTGCCTCATAGGACATTCAAAATGCCGTGTAATCATGGTTTAGGCAGACCAACTTAAAAAAATCCTTTTAAATACAAAATACAATATAGGCCTATAGTGACTCTAATTCTGGTTTTTTTTTTTAAATGATGATGAAGATATGAATATACACATCAACATATAAACAATATAAGGTGATGTCATTATTTTTGTATACAGTGAGTGCTCCATTGAAGAGGCCTTTTAGTTTTAGTATGGACGATTTTGTTAGTAATATTGTAATGAGATTTAGGTATCAAAATGAGCGTAGGACTTGATGTGTGAACAGCGGTGGTGCCAGAATCTGCCCGACGGGAAGGGAGGCCCGGGGTCACCGACAGGTGGGCTCCCCAGGAAAGCAAAGTCGGTGGTGATCCAGAGGGTGAAGCCCTTGAAAAGTACCAATTTACAATCGATTTTATATAGATAGAATTTACTATAATAAGTTGAAAATAATTGTTTTTTCTCCCCGACGAATTGTGATTTTCCTCCCTGACAGGGGACCCAGCTCTCCACGATGGAGGGGGGGGGGGGTTGGGCCTTGTGTGTAAATATCCAAAATTGGTTTATTAATAACAATAACAGAATACAATACCTGCAAATCTATTCTAGAGCACTTACAAATAAAACGATCTTGAATTTATTATATCATTTCCTAATTTCCCTCTAAATACCGTACTCCCGCGAATAAGCGACACGTTTGAATAAGTGCCTCTCTCGAACTACCGCCCCTCCTATCGTGAAAATTTCCTTATGCGCCCCGTTTGAATAAGTGCCCCCTCATAAATCATAAGATTTTCTTTTTAGAAAGTCAATAATCCAATCAATCCTGGGACTGTGATTGTTGGCATGATTTGAGCTGCAGAGTGGAATCACATTCTACTTAGCTAGGTCAATATGAAAATGAGGATATTTCTCAAGGATATTTCTCTTGGACAGATGAGTGCTCCGACCCCTGGACAGACAGTATATTTCAAACTTTACTCTTTTTACTTATTTGTCTATGCCTAGTCCTAGGCCTACTCCTCTTTTTCTTTTTCCGACCTTTAGTACATTCTCATCTGAAGAAAAATACAATGATCCTGCCATTCTGCTAATCCCAATCGGCCGATATGGCCAACAAGCTATAACCACTACCCACCACCACTAATTGCATCTGCTATTCTGCTGTTATGTAAATATTCACAGCATTCTTGTCATGAGCCATGTTCTCTGGACGATTATCTTTTCCGCCTAACCACCATTTGTAATGTCCTTGTATAATCTTTTTTCATTCAAAAAGTGCCTCTTGAATTTAATAATTTCCCATAAGAACACCTAGATTTTCTATTTCCATAAGCGCCCCCTCAATTTCCTCTATGTTTTCATAAGCGCTTCTTTTGAATAAGCGCCCCTCAGAAAATGCAAAAAATATTTTAAGCGCCCGGGCGCTTATTCTCGTGAGTACGGTAGTGATATTTAAGACCACTTTTAGTGTCGGTCTTTAATTAGAGGAATTCAAGTTAGAGACCAAAGCTGCTAAAGACCACCAAAACCCCGGTCCCAAAAGTGGTCTTTAATTGGAGAGAGACCTTTTGTATGTGTGTACAGATCGGCGTCATGGAGTAAAAAACTGCCACAATCTTTTACTATTATTATGTAATATTTGGCTGTAATATTATTTCTTCCATGTTAGTTCTAAGTCATCATTCATGATATTGACATCTAATTTCTTTCAGGAAGGTCATATTCATAGTCATCTATCAAGTTAACCTCTAAAACATGTGTGTAAGCATGGGTGTAAGTACGTTCGCACAATATGATTAACATGTATGAACTCATGAAGCCTTTGATACATTTCCCCTTAACGACGGGGTCGGTCACTGAGTACTCATCTATACATAATAAAACTGATGTAACGAATTGGTGCAAAGTGCATTATAATAGTTTCATTTCATTATTTATTCGGTTTTTCAAACAGATTTGTACATAACTTATATTGATATTTAGGGAGGCAGGGACAACCAAAATGAATCAAATCACTGAACTAAAACTATAATAAAACATTTCTGTCACAAAATATGATTCGTAAATTTTCGCAAGCGAGTGAAATTCAGTGTACAAAATTTTATGCCAAATCATTTTATGTGGTTTTTATTTTGAGCATGTAAACAATCGCACAGAATCTAGTAAAAATGTTCTTCTTTTTAATTTCAGATTCGACGCATTTTTACTCTGAAGAAGGTCTTACTCACCGTCGTATTTTCCATCGCAGTCATTGCAATAAATTATCTTAGACCAGAATCGTTTCAAAGAAATGATGTAGAAAATAACATAGGCCTAATACATCACGTTGTAAAGAAATACGATACTAAAACAAATCTTAAGATAAGTAATGGACCGAAAGAAATATTAATATTTGGCGAACTACGAATGATGAAGACGTGGTCTGAATTAAGCTCCATGATTGACTGCTTCAAAGACCCGAAAACAAAATCTCTACGAAATTGTTCAGTGTTTTGCCCTCTGTATAATGAATCAATATCGTTAACCTTAGGGATAGCAGCGGATTATGGTGGTAAAGATGCAATAGTATTTGGAATTTCTCCTTTTACGCTTCGTCGTTACCATAAAGAAGTTTTTAAACAATTTCCACCAAATGTTCTCACTGTATTTTATAGTATGGAATCTCCATACAGGGTAAGTAAATGGATCTGGCCTATTCCCACTGGAAGATACCACGTTACAATGACGTACCTCACTGCATCTAACATAACAATTCCTTACTCATACTATAAGCCATTCGCCGAAGAAACAGTTTCAGAGAACCGAAATTTTGCGAAGGGCAAAACCAAGTTGATTGCCTGGATGGGTAGCAATTGCCGAGAGGTCTTCTGGCCTAGGCTGGAGTTTATCAAGCAGTTACAGGCACATATATCGATCGACATGTATGGCAAGTGCGGAAATCTCACTTGTCTACCAAGGTTATCAGAGAAATGTGTTTATATGTTAAGAAAATACAAATTCTATCTAGCATTTGAAAATTCTGAGTGCCACGAATATCTGACTGAAAAAATGTGGAAAACTTCCCTCGCGAATGAAGTTGTTCCGATTGTTTATGGACCTAGTAGAGCGGATTATGACAAATTTGCACCACCAAAATCTTATATCCATGTCAGTGATTTCAAGAATGTAAAGGAACTAGCTGACTATATTGAACTTCTTGATAAGAACGACGATTTATACAATTCGTATTTTGATTGGAAGACCAGAGGAAGGGTTGTAAACGTTTATCCTGAAATGCAACCTTCGTATTTTTGTGAGATTCTTGCGTTTTTAGGTAAGAATATACCCCAAGAGCGTAAACCTCTCTCTCAATCCGTTTGGTTTAATTCATGTCGAAATCCAATCAAGAAACGATTTAATCCTGACAAACGGATACGCTTTGAAAACTGGTCGCCTTGGTTGTAGTCTTTTTAGTGCCATCATGGTTGAATTCTTCACATTATAATTCCATTCCAAGATTGGTTATACTATTAATTATTAAAACAAAGTATTATTAAGACGTCTTGGGTTCAGTTGTACTTCAGAAGTTACCTACCATCTGCTAAGGTTCATGATAAGTAAAAAAAATACCATCATCATCGCTATCATAATCATCACCTGGGGAATTCGGGATTTTTCGTAGTTTGGGAATATCTCAATAGCCTTCTTGAATATTCCAACTACATTTAATGTTTACATCTCTGCGTAGGTTAATTAATTATAAGAAAAAAATCATTTAAAAATCTGTAAAGAAAAGTTAAATAATATTCGTTGCGGACAGGGATAATAAGGTTTACTTATACTAATATTGCTCCTCTGTTGAATGAGACTTAAATAGTTTTGTTAAATGCTATTAACAGATGAATATTTTAGGATGCCTAAATGTAAAATTTGCTAATTGCTACAGAGATACACGCTATTTCCACACATGGTATGAGTTTAATTACTGCGAAACACTGCTAAGTCAAAACCAAAATTGTGCTTATACCTTTTTCACTAAAGCCAATAATAATAATAATATAAAATTATACTTTCTCCCCATTATGATCAATGTACAATACCTGTACTTGTTAATGGGAATTGAATAATACACTACCGTACCTATTTCCTTGAACGAATTGCATATTTTAAACAGTGTTTTCCTAGTTACATGGCTGTGACTTGTTTGAATTGTGTCCCATATGCTATCTGTTTTGTTTTATTATTATTTTAGGTCCGCGCAGGCGTCTGAAAGCGTCCAGTAGTATCGCCAGTTTTAAACGGGCGTGCAGGAAATTTTCTACACATAAACTGATTTCCAACAAACGCAGGACGGTGCGATCGGTTATCATTTTTTTTCTTTTTCTCTCTTTTTTCCCTTTTTTTCTTTTTTTTACTTCCCCCCCCCCCCATAAAACCCCCCCCCCCTAAATCCCTAAATCCGCCCCTGAATATAAGAGAAAAGACGACGCGCGATTCGAACTCACGACGTTTCTGTTCTTCACCACACAGCGACAGCGTTGCTCTCACACCAACACGACCTACACTGCGATCGGTACACGACCGACACCGACGTGGCTAGGTCGTGATAGTGTGATAGCAGCATGCAGAGCAACTTGCTCGTGACAAGGCAGAGGTCGTGTGCATGGTCGCGGAGTTTTCAACATGTTGGAAAATTTACTGTGATCGGTACTGGTCACCAGTCTAATCGTAGTCGCTCTCACACGTGCCGTAATCATTTGGCTAAAGTGGCCATTATTCACCAATAAATGACAAGAGGGCAGGTCGTACGTCGCAGTGCTAGGTCGCGAAAGAATATGAGAGTTAAGTCACCGTTCCGCAACCTATGGTTCGTGACCCAATGTTTGGGACGCGTAAAACATTTAGATGGGTCGCATAATCTCTTCAGATCGTGGAAAATCTACCTAATACGAACAAGGACAAACGAAATCAAATTACAGTA